GGACGCCCCAGAGCGTCGCGATGCTCCCCCGGACGCCCCAGAGCGTCGCGATGCTCTCCCCGGACGCCCCAGAGCGTCGCGATGCTCTCCCCGGACGCCCCAGAGCGTCGCGATGCTCTCCCCGGACGCCCCAGAGCGTCGCGATGCTCTCCCCGGACGCCCCAGAGCGTCGCGATGCTCTCCCCGGACGCCCAGAGCGTCGCGATGCTCTCCCCGGACGCCCCAGAGCGTCGCGATGCTCTCCCCGGACGCCCCAGAGCGTCGCGATGCTCTCCCCGGACGCCCCAGAGCGTCGCGATGCTCTCCCCGACGCCCCAGAGCGTCGCGATGCTCTCCCCGGACGCCCCAGAGCGTCGCGATGCTCTCCCGGACGCCCCAGAGCGTCGCGATGCTCTCCCCGGACGCCCCAGAGCGTCGCGATGCTCTCCCGGACGCCCCAGAGCGTCGCGATGCTCTCCCCGGACGCCCCAGAGCGTCGCGATGCTCTCCCCGGACGCCCCAGAGCGTCGCGATGCTCTCCCGGACGCCCCAGAGCGTCGCGATGCTCTCCCCGGACGCCCCAGAGCGTCGCGATGCTCTCCCCGGACGCCCCAGAGCGTCGCGATGCTCTCCCCGGACGCCCCAGAGCGTCGCGATGCTCTCCCCGGACGCCCCAGAGCGTCGCGATGCTCTCCCCGGACGCCCCAGAGCGTCGCGATGCTCTCCCCGGACGCCCCAGAGCGTCGCGATGCTCTCCCGGACGCCCCAGAGCGTCGCGATGCTCTCCCCGGACGCCCCAGAGCGTCGCGATGCTCTCCCCGGACGCCCCAGAGCGTCGCGATGCTCTCCCCGGACGCCCCAGAGCGTCGCGATGCTCTCCCCGGACGCCCCAGAGCGTCGCGATGCTCTCCCCAGACGCCCCAGAGCGTCGCGATGCTCTCCCCGGACGCCCCAGAGCGTCGCGATGCTCTCCCCGGACGCCCCAGAGCGTCGCGATGCTCTCCCCGGACGCCCCAGAGCGTCGCGATGCTCTCCCCGGACGCCCCAGAGCGTCGCGATGCTCTCCCCGGACGCCCCAGAGCGTCGCGATGCTCTCCCCGGACGCCCCAGAGCGTCGCGATGCTCTCCCCGGACGCCCCAGAGCGTCGCGATGCTCTCCCCGGACGCCCCAGAGCGTCGCGATGCTCTCCCCGGACGCCCCAGAGCGTCGCGATGCTCTCCCCGGACGCCCCAGAGCGTCGCGATGCTCTCCCCCGGACGCCCCAGAGCGTCGCGATGCTCCCCGGACGCCCCAGAGCGTCGCGATGCTCTCCCTGGACGCCCCAGAGCGTCGCGATGCTCTCCCCGGACGCCCCAGAGCGTCGCGATGCTCTCCCCGGACGCCCCAGAGCGTCGCGATGCTCTCCCCGGACGCCCCAGAGCGTCGCGATGCTCTCCCCGGACGCCCCAGAGCGTCGCGATGCTCTCCCCGGACGCCCCAGAGCGTCGCGATGCTCTCCCGGACGCCCCAGAGCGTCGCGATGCTCTCCCCGGACGCCCCAGAGCGTCGCGATGCTCTCCCCGGACGCCCCAGAGCGTCGCGATGCTCTCCCCGGACGCCCCAGAGCGTCGCGATGCTCTCCCGGACGCCCCAGAGCGTCGCGATGCTCTCCCCGGACGCCCCAGAGCGTCGCGATGCTCTCCCCGGACGCCCCAGAGCGTCGCGATGCTCTCCCCGGACGCCCCAGAGCGTCGCGATGCTCTCCCCGGACGCCCCAGAGCGTCGCGATGCTCTCCCGGACGCCCCAGAGCGTCGCGATGCTCTCCCCGGACGCCCCAGAGCGTCGCGATGCTCTCCCCGGACGCCCCAGAGCGTCGCGATGCTCTCCCCGACGCCCCAGAGCGTCGCGATGCTCTCCCCGGACGCCCCAGAGCGTCGCGATGCTCTCCCCGGACGCCCCAGAGCGTCGCGATGCTCTCCCCGGACGCCCCAGAGCGTCGCGATGCTCTCCCGGACGCCCCAGAGCGTCGCGATGCTCTCCCCGGACGCCCCAGAGCGTCGCGATGCTCTCCCCGGACGCCCCAGAGCGTCGCGATGATGCTCTCCCGGACGCCCCAGAGCGTCGCGATGCTCTCCCCGGACGCCCCAGAGCGTCGCGATGCTCTCCCCGACGCCCCAGAGCGTCGCGATGCTCTCCCCGGACGCCCCAGAGCGTCGCGATGCTCTCCCCGGACGCCCCAGAGCGTCGCGATGCTCTTCCCGGACGCCCCAGAGCGTCGCGATGCTCTCCCCGGACGCCCCAGAGCGTCGCGATGCTCTCCCGGACGCCCCAGAGCGTCGCGATGCTCTCCCCGGACGCCCCAGAGCGTCGCGATGCTCTCCCCGGACGCCCCAGAGCGTCGCGATGCTCTCCCCGGACGCCCCAGAGCGTCGCGATGCTCTCCCCGGACGCCCCAGAGCGTCGCGATGCTCTCCCCGGACGCCCCAGAGCGTCGCGATGCTCTCCCCGGACGCCCCAGAGCGTCGCGATGCTCTCCCGGACGCCCCAGAGCGTCGCGATGCTCTCCCCGGACGCCCCAGAGCGTCGCGATGCTCTCCCGGACGCCCCAGAGCGTCGCGATGCTCTCCCCGGACGCCCCAGAGCGTCGCGATGCTCTCCCGGACGCCCCAGAGCGTCGCGATGCTCTCCCGGACGCCCCAGAGCGTCGCGATGCTCTCCCCGGACGCCCCAGAGCGTCGCGATGCTCTCCCCGGACGCCCCAGAGCGTCGCGATGCTCTCCCCGGACGCCCCAGAGCGTCGCGATGCTCTCCCCGGACGCCCCAGAGCGTCGCGATGCTCTCCCCGGACGCCCCAGAGCGTCGCGATGCTCTCCCCGGACGCCCCAGAGCGTCGCGATGCTCTCCCCGGACGCCCCAGAGCGTCGCGATGCTCTCCCCGGACGCCCCAGAGCGTCGCGATGCTCTCCCCGGACGCCCCAGAGCGTCGCGATGCTCTCCCCGGACGCCCCAGAGCGTCGCGATGCTCTCCCCGGACGCCCCAGAGCGTCGCGATGCTCTCCCCGGACGCCCCAGAGCGTCGCGATGCTCTCCCCGGACGCCCCAGAGCGTCGCGATGCTCTCCCCGGACGCCCCAGAGCGTCGCGATGCTCTCCCCGGACGCCCCAGAGCGTCGCGATGCTCTCCCCGGACGCCCCAGAGCGTCGCGATGCTCTCCCCGGACGCCCCAGAGCGTCGCGATGCTCTCCGGACGCCCCCCCAGAGCGTCGCGATGCTCTCCCCGGACGCCCCAGAGCGTCGCGATGCTCTCCCCGGACGCCCCAGAGCGTCGCGATGCTCTCCCGGACGCCCCAGAGCGTCGCGATGCTCTACCCGGACGCCCCAGAGCGTCGCGATGCTCTCCCCGGACGCCCCAGAGCGTCGCGATGCTCTCCCGGACGCCCCAGAGCGTCGCGATGCTCTCCCCGGACGCCCCAGAGCGTCGCGATGCTCTCCCCGGACGCCCCAGAGCGTCGCGATGCTCTCCCCGGACGCCCCAGAGCGTCGCGATGCTCTCCCCGGACGCCCCAGAGCGTCGCGATGCTCTCCCGGACGCCCCAGAGCGTCGCGATGCTCTCCCCGGACGCCCCAGAGCGTCGCGATGCTCTTCCCGGACGCCCCAGAGCGTCGCGATGCTCTCCCCGACGCCCCAGAGCGTCGCGATGCTCTCCCCGGACGCCCCAGAGCGTCGCGATGCTCTCCCCGGACGCCCCAGAGCGTCGCGATGCTCTCCCGGACGCCCCAGAGCGTCGCGATGCTCTCCCCGGACGCCCCAGAGCGTCGCGATGCTCTCCCCGGACGCCCCAGAGCGTCGCGATGCTCTCCCCGGACGCCCCAGAGCGTCGCGATGCTCTCCCCGGACGCCCCAGAGCGTCGCGATGCTCTCCCCGGACGCCCCAGAGCGTCGCGATGCTCTCCCCGGACGCCCCAGAGCGTCGCGATGCTCTCCCGGACGCCCCAGAGCGTCGCGATGCTCTCCCCGGACGCCCCAGAGCGTCGCGATGCTCTCCCCGGACGCCCCAGAGCGTCGCGATGCTCTCCCCGGACGCCCCAGAGCGTCGCGATGCTCTTCCCGGACGCCCCAGAGCGTCGCGATGCTCTCCCCGGACGCCCCAGAGCGTCGCGATGCTCTCCCCGGACGCCCCAGAGCGTCGCGATGCTCTCCCCGGACGCCCCAGAGCGTCGCGATGCTCTCCCGGACGCCCCAGAGCGTCGCGATGCTCTCCCGGACGCCCCAGAGCGTCGCGATGCTCTCCCGGACGCCCCAGAGCGTCGCCTCATGGTCTCCCCGGACGCCCCAGAGCGTCGCGATGCTCTCCCCGGACGCCCCAGAGCGTCGCGATGCTCTCCCGGACGCCCCAGAGCGTCGCGATGCTCTCCCCGGACGCCCCAGAGCGTCGCGATGCTCTCCCCGGACGCCCCAGAGCGTCGCGATGCTCTCCCCGGACGCCCCAGAGCGTCGCGATGCTCTCCCCGGACGCCCCAGAGCGTCGCGATGCTCTCCCCGGACGCCCCCAGAGCGTCGCGATGCTCTCCCGGACGCCCCAGAGCGTCGCGATGCTCTCCCGGACGCCCCAGAGCGTCGCGATGCTCTCCCCGGACGCCCCAGAGCGTCGCGATGCTCTCCCCGGACGCCCCAGAGCGTCGCGATGCTCTCCCCGGACGGACCCCAGAGCGTCGCGATGCTCTCCCCGGACGCCCCAGAGCGTCGCGATGCTCTCCCGGACGCCCCAGAGCGTCGCGATGCTCTCCCGGACGCCCCAGAGCGTCGCGATGCTCTCCCCGGACGCCCCAGAGCGTCGCGATGCTCTCCCCGGACGCCCCAGAGCGTCGCGATGCTCTCCCGGACGCCCCAGAGCGTCGCGATGCTCTCCCCGGACGCCCCAGAGCGTCGCGATGCTCTCCCCGGACGCCCCAGAGCGTCGCGATGCTCTCCCCGGACGCCCCAAGAGCGTCGCGATGCTCTCCCCGGACGCCCCAGAGCGTCGCGATGCTCTCCCGGACGCCCCAGAGCGTCGCGATGCTCTCCCCGGACGCCCCAGAGCGTCGCGATGCTCTCCCCGGACGCCCCAGAGCGTCGCGATGCTCTCCCCGGACGCCCCAGAGCGTCGCGATGCTCTCCCGAACGCCCCAGAGCGTCGCGATGCTCTCCCCGGACGCCCCAGAGCGTCGCGATGCTCTCCCCGGACGCCCCAGAGCGTCGCGATGCTCTCTCCCCGGACGCCCCAGAGCGTCGCGATGCTCTCCCCGGACGCCCCAGAGCGTCGCTATGGACGCCCCCCCTGCTCTCTCCCCGGACGCCCCAGAGCGTCGCGATGCTCTCCCCGGACGCCCCAGAGCGTCGCGATATGCTCCCCCGGACGCCCCAGAGCGTCGCGATGCTCTCCCGGACGCCCCAGAGCGTCGCGATGCTCTCCCCGGACGCCCCAGAGCGTCGCGATGCTCTCTCCCGGACGCCCCAGAGCGTCGCGATGCTCTCCCCGGACGCCCCAGAGCGTCGCGATGCTCCCCGGACGCCCCAGAGCGTCGCGATGCTCTCCCCGGACGCCCCAGAGCGTCGCGATGCTCTCCCGGACGCCCCAGAGCGTCGCGATGCTCTCCCCGGACGCCCCAGAGCGTCGCGATGCTCTCCCGGACGCCCCAGAGCGTCGCGATGCTCTCCCGGACGCCCCAGAGCGTCGCGATGCTCTCCCCGGACGCCCCAGAGCGTCGCGATGCTCTCCCCGGACGCCCCAGAGCGTCGCGATGCTCTCCCCGGACGCCCCAGAGCGTCGCGATGCTCTCCCCGGACGCCCCAGAGCGTCGCGATGCTCTCCCCGGACGCCCCAGAGCGTCGCGATGCTCTCCCCGGACGCCCCAGAGCGTCGCGATGCTCTCCCGGACGCCCCAGAGCGTCGCGATGCTCTCCCCGGACGCCCCAGAGCGTCGCGATGCTCTCCCCGGACGCCCCAGAGCGTCGCGATGCTCCCCGGACGCCCCAGAGCGTCGCGATGCTCTCCCCGGACGCCCCAGAGCGTCGCGATGCTCTCCCCGGACGCCCCAGAGCGTCGCGATGCTCTCCCGGACGCCCCAGAGCGTCGCGATGCTCTCCCGGACGCCCCAGAGCGTCGCGATGCTCTCCCGGACGCCCCAGAGCGTCGCGATGCTCTCCCCGACGCCCCAGAGCGTCGCGATGCTCTCCCCGGACGCCCCAGAGCGTCGCGATGCTCTCCCCGGACGCCCCAGAGCGTCGCGATGCTCTCCCCGGACGCCCCAGAGCGTCGCGATGCTCTCCCGGACGCCCCAGAGCGTCGCGATGCTCTCCCGGACGCCCCAGAGCGTCGCGATGCTCTCCCCGGACGCCCCAGAGCGTCGCGATGCTCTCCCGGACGCCCCAGAGCGTCGCGATGCTCTCCCCGGACGCCCCAGAGCGTCGCGATGCTCTCCCCGGACGCCCCAGAGCGTCGCGATGCTCTCCCCGGACGCCCCAGAGCGTCGCGATGCTCTCCCCGGACGCCCCAGAGCGTCGCGATGCTCTCCCGGACGCCCCAGAGCGTCGCGATGCTCTCCCCGGACGCCCCAGAGCGTCGCGATGCTCTCCCCGGACGCCCCAGAGCGTCGCGATGCTCTCCCCGGACGCCCCAGAGCGTCGCGATGCTCTCCCCGGACGCCCCAGAGCGTCGCGATGCTCTCCCCGGACGCCCCAGAGCGTCGCGATGCTCTCCCGGACGCCCCAGAGCGTCGCGATGCTCTCCCGGACGCCCCAGAGCGTCGCGATGCTCTCCCCGGACGCCCCAGAGCGTCGCGATGCTCTCCCCGGACGCCCCCCCAGAGCGTCGCGATGCTCTCCCCGGACGCCCCAGAGCGTCGCGATGCTCTCCCCGACGCCCCAGAGCGTCGCGATGCTCTCCCCGACGCCCCAGAGCGTCGCGATGCTCTCCCCGGACGCCCCAGAGCGTCGCGATGCTCTCCCCGGACGCCCCAGAGCGTCGCGATGCTCTCCCCGGACGCCCCAGAGCGTCGCGATGCTCTCCCGGACGCCCCAGAGCGTCGCGATGCTCTCCCCGGACGCCCCAGAGCGTCGCGATGCTCTCCCCGGACGCCCCAGAGCGTCGCGATGCTCTCCCCGGACGCCCCAGAGCGTCGCGATGCTCTCCCCGGACGCCCCAGAGCGTCGCGATGCTCTCCCCGGACGCCCCAGAGCGTCGCGATGCTCTCCCCGGACGCCCCAGAGCGTCGCGATGCTCTCCCCGGACGCCCCAGAGCGTCGCGATGCTCTCCCGGACGCCCCAGAGCGTCGCGATGCTCTCCCTCGGACGCCCCAGAGCGTCGCGATGCTCTCCCCGGACGCCCCAGAGCGTCGCGATGCTCTCCCCGGACGCCCCAGAGCGTCGCGATGCTCTCCCCGGACGCCCCAGAGCGTCGCGATGCTCTCCCCGGACGCCCCAGAGCGTCGCGATGCTCTCCCCGGACGCCCCAGAGCGTCGCGATGCTCTCCCCAGCCGCCCCAGAGCGTCGCGATGCTCTCCCCGGACGCCCCAGAGCGTCGCGATGCTCTCCCCGGACGCCCCAGAGCGTCGCGATGCTCTCCTCGGACGCCCCAGAGCGTCGCGATGCTCTCCCCGGACGCCCCAGAGCGTCGCGATGCTCTCCCCGGACGCCCCAGAGCGTCGCGATGCTCTCCCCGGACGCCCCAGAGCGTCGCGATGCTCTCCCCGGACGCCCCAGAGCGTCGCGATGCTCCCCGGACGCCCCAGAGCGTCGCGATGCTCTCCCCGGACGCCCCAGAGCGTCGCGATGCTCTCCCGGACGCCCCAGAGCGTCGCGATGCTCTCCCCGGACGCCCCAGAGCGTCGCGATGCTCTCCCCGGACGCCCCAGAGCGTCGCGATGCTCTCCCCGGACGCCCCAGAGCGTCGCGATGCTCTCCCCGGACGCCCCAGAGCGTCGCGATGCTCTCCCGGACGCCCCAGAGCGTCGCGATGCTCTCCCGGACGCCCCAGAGCGTCGCGATGCTCTCCCCGGACGCCCCAGAGCGTCGCGATGCTCTCCCCGGACGCCCCAGAAGAGCGTCGCGATGCTCTCCCCGGACGCCCCAGAGCGTCGCGATGCTCTCCCCGGACGCCCCAGAGCGTCGCGATGCTCTCCCCGGACGCCCCAGAGCGTCGCGATGCTCTCCCCAGGACGCCCCAGAGCGTCGCGATGCTCTCCCCGGACGCCCCAGAGCGTCGCGATGCTCTCCCCGGACGCCCAGAGCGTCGCGATGCTCTCCCCGGACGCGCCCCAGAGCGTCGCGATGCTCTCCCGGACGCCCCAGAGCGTCGCGATGCTCTCCCCGGACGCCCCAGAGCGTCGCGATGCTCTCCCCGGACGCCCCAGAGCGTCGCGATGCTCTCCCCGGACGCCCCAGAGCGTCGCGATGCTCTCCCCGGACGCCCCAGAGCGTCGCGATGGCCTCCCCGGACGCCCCAGAGCGTCGCGATGCTCTCCCCGGACGCCCCAGAGCGTCGCGATGCTCTCCCCGGACGCCCCAGAGCGTCGCGATGCTCTCCCGGACGCCCCAGAGCGTCGCGATGCTCTCCCCGGACGCCCCAGAGCGTCGCGATGCTCTCCCCGGACGCCCCAGAGCGTCGCGATGCTCTCCCGACGCCCCAGAGCGTCGCGATGCTCTCCCCGGACGCCCCAGAGCGTCGCGATGCTCTCCCCGGACGCCCCAGAGCGTCGCGATGCTCTCCCTGGACGCCCCAGAGCGTCGCGATGCTCTCCCCGGACGCCCCAGAGCGTCGCGATGCTCTCCCCGGACGCCCCAGAGCGTCGCGATGCTCTCCCCGGACGCCCCAGAGCGTCGCGATGCTCTCCCGGACGCCCCAGAGCGTCGCGATGCTCTCCCGGACGCCCCAGAGCGTCGCGATGCTCTCCCCGACGCCCCAGAGCGTCGCGATGCTCTCCCGGACGCCCCAGAGCGTCGCGATGCTCTCCCCGGACGCCCCAGAGCGTCGCGATGCTCTCCCCGGACGCCCCAGAGCGTCGCGATGCTCTCCCCGGACGCCCCAGAGCGTCGCGATGCTCTCCCGGACGCCCCAGAGCGTCGCGATGCTCTCCCCGGACGCCCCAGAGCGTCGCGATGCTCTCCCCGGACGCCCCAGAGCGTCGCGATGCTCTCCCCGGACGCCCCAGAGCGTCGCGATGCTCTCCCCGGACGCCCCAGAGCGTCGCGATGCTCTCCCCGGACGCCCCAGAGCGTCGCGATGCTCTCCCCGGACGCCCCAGAGCGTCGCGATGCTCTCCCCGACGCCCCAGAGAGCGTCGCGATGCTCTCCCCGGACGCCCCAGAGCGTCGCGATGCTCTCCCCGGACGCCCCAGAGCGTCGCGATGCTCTCCCCGGACGCCCCAGAGCGTCGCGATGCTCTCCCGGACGCCCCAGAGCGTCGCGATGCTCTCCCCGGACGCCCCAGAGCGTCGCGATGCTCTCCCCGGACGCCCCAGAGCGTCGCGATGCTCTCCCCGGACGCCCCAGAGCGTCGCGATGCTCTCCCCGGACGCCCCAGAGCGTCGCGATGCTCTCCCCGGACGCCCAGAGCGTCGTCCCCCCCCCCGATGCTCTCCCGGACGCCCCAGAGCGTCGCGATGCTCTCCCGGACGCCCCAGAGCGTCGCGATGCTCTCCCCGGACGCCCCAGAGCGTCGCGATGCTCTCCCCGGACGCCCCAGAGCGTCGCGATGCTCTCCCCGGACGCCCCAGAGCGTCGCGATGCTCTCCCCGGACGCCCCAGAGCGTCGCGATGCTCTCCCCGGACGCCCCAGAGCGTCGCGATGCTCTCCCCGGACGCCCCAGAGCGTCGCGATGCTCTCCCCGGACGCCCCAGAGCGTCGCGATGCTCTCCCGGACGCCCCAGAGCGTCGCGATGCTCTCCCCAGACGCCCCAGAGCGTCGCGATGCTCTCCCCGGACGCCCCAGAGCGTCGCGATGCTCTCCCCGGACGCCCCAGAGCGTCGCGATGCTCTCCCCGGACGCCCCAGAGCGTCGCGATGCTCTCCCCGGACGCCCCAGAGCGTCGCGATGCTCTCCCCGGACGCCCCAGAGCGTCGCGATGCTCTCCCGGACGCCCCAGAGCGTCGCGATGCTCTCCCCGGACGCCCCAGAGCGTCGCGATGCTCTCCCCGGACGCCCCCCAGAGCGTCGCGATGCTCTCCCCGGACGCCCCAGAGCGTCGCGATGCTCTCCCCGGACGCCCCAGAGCGTCGCGATGCTCTCCCCGGACGCCCCAGAGCGTCGCGATGCTCTCCCGGACGCCCCAGAGCGTCGCGATGCTCTCCCCGGACGCCCCAGAGCGTCGCGATGCTCTCCCCGGACGCCCCAGAGCGTCGCGATGCTCTCCCGGACGCCCCAGAGCGTCGCGATGCTCTCCCCGGACGCCCCAGAGCGTCGCGATGCTCTCCCCGGACGCCCCAGAGCGTCGCGATGCTCTCCCCGGACGCCCCAGAGCGTCGCGATGCTCTCCCCGGACGCCCCAGAGCGTCGCGATGCTCTCCCGGACGCCCCAGAGCGTCGCGATGCTCTCCCCGGACGCCCCAGAGCGTCGCGATGCTCTCCCCGGACGCCCCAGAGCGTCGCGATGCTCTCCCCGGACGCCCCAGAGCGTCGCGATGCTCTCCCCGGACGCCCCAGAGCGTCGCGATGCTCTCCCCGGACGCCCCAGAGCGTCGCGATGCTCTCCCCGGACGCCCCAGAGCGTCGCGATGCTCTCCCCGGACGCCCCAGAGCGTCGCGATGCTCTCCCCGGACGCCCCAGAGCGTCGCGATGCTCTCCCGGACGCCCCAGAGCGTCGCGATGCTCTCCCCGGACGCCCCAGAGCGTCGCGATGCTCTCCCCGCCCCAGAGCTCGCCTCTCCCCGGACGCCCCAGAGCGTCGCGATGCTCTCCCCGGACGCCCCAGAGCGTCGCGATGCTCTCCCCGGACGCCCCAGAGCGTCGCGATGCTCTCCCCGGACGCCCCAGAGCGTCGCGATGCTCTCCCCGGACGCCCCAGAGCGTCGCGATGCTCTCCGGACGCCCCAGAGCGTCGCGATGCTCTCCCCGGACGCCCCAGAGCGTCGCGATGCTCTCCCGGACGCCCCAGAGCGTCGCGATGCTCTCCCCGGACGCCCCAGAGCGTCGCGATGCTCTCCCCGGACGCCCAGAGCGTCGCGATGCTCTCCCCGGACGCCCCAGAGCGTCGCGATGCTCTCCCGGACGCCCCAGAGCGTCGCGATGCTCTCCCCGGACGCCCCAGAGCGTCGCGATGCTCTCCCCGGACGCCCCAGAGCGTCGCGATGCTCTCCCGGACGCCCCAGAGCGTCGCGATGCTCTCCCCGGACGCCCCAGAGCGTCGCGATGCTCTCCCCGGACGCCCCAGAGCGTCGCGATGCTCTCCCCGGACGCCCCAGAGCGTCGCGATGCTCTCCCCGGACGCCCCAGAGCGTCGCGATGCTCTCCCCGGACGCCCCAGAGCGTCGCGATGCTCTCCCCGGACGCCCCAGAGCGTCGCGATGCTCTCCCGGACGCCCCAGAGCGTCGCGATGCTCTCCCGGACGCCCCAGAGCGTCGCGATGCTCTCCCCGGACGCCCCAGAGCGTCGCGATGCTCTCCCCGGACGCCCCAGAGCGTCGCGATGCTCTCCCGGACGCCCCAGAGCGTCGCGATGCTCTCCCCGGACGCCCCAGAGCGTCGCGATGCTCTCCCCGGACGCCCCAGAGCGTCGCGATGCTCTTCCCGGACGCCCCAGAGCGTCGCGATGCTCTCCCGGACCCCCAGAGCGTCGCGATGCTCTCCCCGGACGCCCCAGAGCGTCGCGATGCTCTCCCCGGACGCCCCAGAGCGTCGCGATGCTCTCCCCGGACGCCCCAGAGCGTCGCGATGCTCTCCCCGGACGCCCCAGAGCGTCGCGATGCTCTCCCCACGCCCCAGAGCGTCGCGATGCTCTCCCCGGACGCCCCAGAGCGTCGCGATGCTCTCCCCGACGCCCCAGAGCGTCGCGATGCTCTCCCCGGACGCCCCAGAGCGTCGCGATGCTCTCCCCGGACGCCCCAGAGCGTCGCGATGCTCTCCCCGGACGCCCCAGAGCGTCGCGATGCTCTCCCCGACGCCCCAGAGCGTCGCGATGCTCTCCCCGGACGCCCCAGAGCGTCGCGATGCTCTCCCCGGACGCCCCAGAGCGTCGCGATGCTCTCCCGGACGCCCCAGAGCGTCGCGATGCTCTCCCCGGACGCCCCAGAGCGTCGCGATGCTCTCCCCGGACGCCCAGAGCGTCGCGATGCTCTCCCGGACGCCCAGAGCGTCGCGATGCTCTCCCCGGACGCCCCAGAGCGTCGCGATGCTCTCCCCGGACGCCCCAGAGCGTCGCGATGCTCTCCCGGACGCCCCAGAGCGTCGCGATGCTCTCCCCGGACGCCCCAGAGCGTCGCGATGCTCTCCCCGGACGCCCCAGAGCGTCGCGATGCTCTCCCCGGACGCCCCAGAGCGTCGCGATGCTCTCCCCGGACGCCCCAGAGCGTCGCGATGCTCTCCCCGGACGCCCCAGAGCGTCGCGATGCTCTCCCCGGACGCCCCAGAGCGTCGCGATGCTCTCCCCGGACGCCCCAGAGCGTCGCGATGCTCTCCCCGGACGCCCCAGAGCGTCGCGATGCTCTCCCCGGACGCCCCAGAGCGTCGCGATGCTCTCCCCGGACGCCCCAGAGCGTCGCGATGCTCTCCCCGGACGCCCCAGAGCGTCGCGATGCTCTCCCGCGACGCCCCAGAGCGTCGCGATGCTCTCCCCGGACGCCCCAGAGCGTCGCGATGCTCTCCCCGGACGCCCCAGAGCGTCGCGATGCTCTCCCCGGACGCCCCAGAGCGTCGCGATGCTCTCCCAGACGCCCCAGAGCGTCGCGATGCTCTCCCCGGACGCCCCAGAGCGTCGCGATGCTCTCCCCAGACGCCCCAGAGCGTCGCGATGCTCTCCCCGGACGCCCCAGAGCGTCGCGATGCTCTCCCCGGACGCCCCAGAGCGTCGCGATGCTCTCCCCGGACGCCCCAGAGCGTCGCGATGCTCTCCCCGGACGCCCCAGAGCGTCGCGATGCTCTCCCCGGACGCCCCAGAGCGTCGCGATGCTCTCCCCGGGCCCCAGAGCGTCGCGATGCTCTCCCCGGACGCCCCAGAGCGTCGCGATGCTCTCCCCGGACGCCCCAGAGCGTCGCGATGCTCTCCCCGGACGCCCCAGAGCGTCGCGATGCTCTCCCCGGACGCCCCAGAGCGTCGCGATGCTCTCCCCCGGACGCCCCAGAGCGTCGCGATGCTCTCCCCGACGCCCCAGAGCGTCGCGATGCTCTCCCCGGACGCCCCAGAGCGTCGCGATGCTCTCCCCGGACGCCCCAGAGCGTCGCGATGCTCTCCCCGGACGCCCCAGAGCGTCGCGATGCTCTCCCCGGACGCCCCAGAGCGTCGCGATGCTCTCCCCGGAGCCCCAGCCCCAGAGCAGCGCGATGCTCTCCCGGACGCCCCAGAGCGTCGCGATGCTCTCCCCGGACGCCCCAGAGCGTCGCGATGCTCTCCCCGGACGCCCCAGAGCGTCGCGATGCTCTCCCGGACGCCCCAGAGCGTCGCGATGCTCTCCCCGACGCCCCAGAGCGTCGCGATGCTCTCCCCGGACGCCCCAGAGCGTCGCGATGCTCTCCGGACGCCCCAGAGCGTCGCGATGCTCTCCCCGGACGCCCCAGAGCGTCGCGATGCTCCCCGGACGCCCCAGAGCGTCGCGATGCTCTCCCCGGACGCCCCAGAGCGTCGCGATGCTCTCCCCGGACGCCCCAGAGCGTCGCGATGCTCTCCCCGGACGCCCAGAGCGTCGCGATGCTCTCCCCGACGCCCCAGAGCGTCGCGATGCTCTCCCCGGACGCCCCAGAGCGTCGCGATGCTCTCCCCGGACGCCCCAGAGCGTCGCGATGCTCTCCCCGGACGCCCCAGAGCGTCGCGATGCTCTCCCGGACGCCCCAGAGCGTCGCGATGCTCTCCCCGGACGCCCCAGAGCGTCGCGATGCTCTCCCCGGACGCCCCAGAGCGTCGCGATGCTCTCCCCGGACGCCCCAGAGCGTCGCGATGCTCTCCCGGACGCCCCAGAGCGTCGCGATGCTCTCCCCGGACGCCCCAGAGCGTCGCGATGCTCTCCCCGGACGCCCCAGAGCGTCGCGATGCTCTCCCGGACGCCCCAGAGCGTCGCGATGCTCTCCCCGGACGCCCCAGAGCGTCGCGATGCTCTCCCCGGACGCCCCAGAGCGTCGCGATGCTCTCCCCGGACGCCCCAGAGCGTCGCGATGCTCTCCCCGGACGCCCCAGAGCGTCGCGATGCTCTCCCCGGACGCCCCAGAGCGTCGCGATGCTCTCCCCGGACGCCCCAGAGCGTCGCGATGCTCTCCCCGGACGCCCCAGAGCGTCGCGATGCTCTCCCCGGACGCCCCAGAGCGTCGCGATGCTCTCCCGGACGCCCCAGAGCGTCGCGATGCTCTTCCCGGACGCCCCAGAGCGTCGCGATGCTCTCCCCGGACGCCCCAGAGCGTCGCGATGCTCTCCCCGGACGCCCCAGAGCGTCGCGATGCTCTCCCCGGACGCCCCAGAGCGTCGCGATGCTCTCCCCGGACGCCCCAGAGCGTCGCGATGCTCTCCCAGGACGCCCCAGCCCCAGAGCGTCGCGATGCTCTCCCCGGACGCCCCAGAGCGTCGCGATGCTCTCCCCGGACGCCCCAGAGCGTCGCGATGCTCTCCGGACGCCCCAGAGCGTCGCGATGCTCTCCCCGGACGCCCAAGAGCGTCGCGATGCTCTCCCCGGACGCCCCAGAGCGTCGCGATGCTCTCCCGGACGCCCCAGAGCGTCGCGATGCTCTCCCCGGACGCCCCAGAGCGTCGCGATGCTCTCCCCGGACGCCCCAGAGCGTCGCGATGCTCTCCCCGGACGCCCCAGAGCGTCGCGATGCTCTCCCCGGACGCCCCAGAGCGTCGCGATGCTCTCCCCGGACGCCCCAGAGCGTCGCGATGCTCTCCCCGGACGCCCCAGAGCGTCGCGATGCTCTCCCCGGACGCCCCAGAGCGTCGCGATGCTCTCCCCGGACGCCCCAGAGCGTCGCGATGCTCTCCCCGGACGCCCCAGAGCGTCGCGATGCTCTCCCCGGACGCCCCAGAGCGTCGCGATGCTCTCCCCGGACGCCCCAGAGCGTCGCGATGCTCTCCCCGGACGCCCCAGAGCGTCGCGATGCTCTCCCGGACGCCCCAGAGCGTCGCGATGCTCTCCCCGGACGCCCCAGAGCGTCGCGATGCTCTCCCCGGACGCCCCAGAGCGTCGCGATGCTCTCCCCGGACGCCCCAGAGCGTCGCGATGCTCTCCCCGGACGCCCCAGAGCGTCGCGATGCTCTCCCGGACGCCCCAGAGCGTCGCGATGCTCTCCCCGGACGCCCCAGAGCGTCGCGATGCTCTCCCCGGACGCCCCAGAGCGTCGCGATGCTCTCCCCGGACGCCCCAGAGCGTCGCGATGCTCTCCCCGACGCCCCAGAGCGTCGCGATGCTCTCCCCGGACGCCCCAGAGCGTCGCGATGCTCTCCCCGGACGCCCCAGAGCGTCGCGATGCTCTCCCCGGACGCCCCAGAGCGTCGCGATGCTCTCCCCGGACGCCCCAGAGCGTCGCGATGCTCTCCCGGACGCCCCAGAGCGTCGCGATGCTCTCCCCGGACGCCCCAGAGCGTCGCGATGCTCTCCCCGGACGCCCCAGAGCGTCGCGATGCTCTCCCGGACGCCCCAGAGCGTCGCTATGCTCTCCCCGACGCCCCAGAGCGTCGCGATGCTCTCCCGGACGCCCCAGAGCGTCGCGATGCTCTCCCCGGACGCCCCAGAGCGTCGCGATGCTCTCCCCGGACGCCCCAGAGCGTCGCGATGCTCTCCCCGGACGCCCCAGAGCGTCGCGATGCTCTCCCCGGACGCCCCAGAGCGTCGCGATGCTCTCCCCGGACGCCCCAGAGCGTCGCGATGCTCTCCCCGGACGCCCCAGAGCGTCGCGATGCTCTCCCGGACGCCCCAGAGCGTCGTGATGCTCTCCCCAGCCGCCCCAGAGCGTCGCGATGCTCTCCCCGGACGCCCCAGAGCGTCGCGATGCTCTCCCCGGACGCCCCAGAGCGTTGCGATGCTCTCCCCGGACGCCCCAGAGCGTCCGATGCTCTCCCAGGATGCCCCAGAGCGTCGCGATGCTCTCCCCGGACGCCCCAGAGCGTCGCTATGCTCTTCCCGGACGCCCCAGAGCGTCGCGATGCTCTCCCCGGAAGCCCCAGAGCGTCGCGATGCTCTCCCCGGACGCCCCTGAGCGTCGCGATGCTCTCCCGGACGCCCCAGAGCGTCGCGATGCTCTACCAGGACGCCCAGAGCGTCGCGATGCTCTCCCCAGCCGCCCCAGAGCGTCGCGATGCTCTCCCCGGACGCCCCAGAGCATCGCCATGCTCTCCCGGACGCCCCAGAGCGTCGCGATGCTCTCCCCGGACGCCCCATAGCATCGCGATGCTCTCCCCAGACGCCCCAGAGCATCGCGATGCTCTCCCCGGACGCCCCAGAGCGTCGCGATGCTCTCCCCGGACGCCCCAGAGCGTTGCGATGCTCTCCCCAGCCGCCCCAGAGCGTCGTGATGCTCTCCCCGGACGCCCTAGAGCGTCGCGATGCTCTCCCCGGACGCCCCAGAGCGTCGCGATGCTCTCCCCGGACGCCCCAGAGCGTTGCGATGCTTAGGGTTTAGGGTTTAGGGTTTAGGGTTTAGGGTCGCCCTAAACCCTAAACCCGGACGCCCCAGAGCGTCGTGATGCTCCCCAGCCGCCCCAGAGCGTCGCGATGCTCTCCCCGGACGCCCCAGAGCGTCGCGATGCTCTCCCCGGACGCCCCAGAGCGTTGCGATGCTCTCCCCGAACGCCCCAGAGCGTCCCGATGCTCTCCCAGGATGCCCCAGAGCGTCGCGATGCTCTCCCCGGACGCCCCAGAGCGTCGCTATGCTCTTCCCGGACGCCCCAGAGCGTCGCGATGCTCTCCCCGGAAGCCCCAAGCATCGCGATGCTCTCCCCGGACGCCCCTGAGCGTCGCGATGCTCTCCCCGGACGCCCCAGAGCGTCGTGATGCTCTACCAGGACGCCCAGAGCGTCGCGATGCTCTCCCCAGCCGCCCCAGAGCGTCGCGATGCTCTCCCCGGACGCCCCAGAGCGTCGCGATGCTCTCCCCGGACGCCCCAGAGCGTCGCGATGCTCTCCCCGGACGCCCCAGAGCATCGCCATGCTCTCCCCGGACGCCCCAGAGCGTCGCGATGCTCTCCCGGACGCCCCAGAGCATCGCGATGCTCTCCCCAGACGCCCCAGAGCATCGCGATGCTCTCCCCGGACGCCCCAGAGCGTCGCGATGCTCTCCCCGGACGCCCCAGAGCGTCGCGATGCTCTCCCCAGCCGCCCCAGAGCGTCGCGATGCTCTCCCGGACGCCCCAGAGCGTCGCGATGCTCCCCGGACGCCCCAGAGCGTCGCGATGCTCTCCCCAGCCGGCCCAGAGCGTCGTGATGCTCTCCCCGGACGCCCTAGAGCGTCGCGATGCTCTCCCCGGACGCCCCACAGCGTCGCGATGCTCTCCCCGGACGCCCCAGAGCGTTGCGATGCTCTCCCCGGACGCCCCAGAGCATCGCGATGCTCTCCCCGGACGCCCCAGAGCATCGCGATGCTCTCCCCGGACGCCCCAGAGCGTCGCTATGCTCTCCCCGGACGCCCCAGAGCGTCGCGATGCTCTCCCCGGACGCCCCAGAGCATCGCGATGCTCTCCCCGGACGCCCCAGAGCGTCGCGATGCTCTCCCCGGACGCCCGAGAGCGTCGCGATGCTCTCCCGGACGCCCCAGAGCGTCGCGATGCTCTCCCCAGCCGCCCCAGAGCGTCGCGATGCTCTCCCCAGCTGCCCCAGAGCGTCGCGATGCTCTCCCCGGACGCCCCAGAGCGTCGCGATGCTCTCCCCGGACGCCCCAGAGCGTTGCGATGCTCTCCCCGGACGCCCCAGAGCGTCCCGATGCTTCTCCCAGGATGCCCCAGAGCGTCGCGATGCTCTGCCCGGACGCCCCCCAGAGCGTCGCTATGCTCTTCCCGGACGCCCGCCTGAGCGTCGCGATGCTCTCCCCGGAAGCCCCAATCATCGCGATGCTCTCCCCGGACGCCCCTGAGCGTCGCGATGCTCTCCCCGGACGCCCCAGAGCGTCGCGATGCTCTACCAGGACGCCCAGAGCGTCGCGATGCTCTCCCCAGCCGCCCCAGAGCGTCGCGATGCTCTCCCCGGACGCCCCAGAGCGTCGTGATGCTCTCCCCGGACGCCCCAGAGCGTCGCCACGCTCTCCCCGGACGCCCCAGAGCGTCGCGATGCTCTCCCCGGACGCCCCAGAGCATCGCGATGCTCTCCCCAGACGCCCCAGAGCATCGCGATGCTCTCCCCGGGACGCCCCAGAGCGTCGCGATGCTCTCCCCGGACGCCCCAGAGCGTCGCGATGCTCTCCCCGGACGCCCCAGAGCGTCGCGATGCTCTCCCCGGACGCCCCAGAGCGTCGCGATGCTCTCCTCGGACGCCCCAGAGCGTCGCGATGCTCTCCCCGGACGCCCCAGAGCGTCGCGATGCTCTCCCCGGACGCCCCGAGTGAGAGCGTCGCGATGCTCTACCCGGACGCCCCCAGAGCGTCGCGATGCTCTCCCCAGCCGCCCCAGAGCGTCGTGATGCTCTCCCCGAAACGCCCTAGAGCGTCGCGATGCTCTCCCCGAACGCCCCAGAGCGTCGCGATGCTCTCCCCGGACGCCCCAGAGCGTCGCGATGCTCTCCCCGGACGCCCCCAGAGCGTCGCGATGCTCTCCCCGGACGCCCCCAGAGCGTCGCGATGCTCTCCCCGGACGCCCCCAGAGCGTCGCGATGCTCTCCCCGGACGCCCCAGAGCGTCGCGATGCTCTCCCCGGACGCCCCAGAGCGTTGCGATGCTCTCCCTGGACGCCCCCAGAGCATCGCGATGCTCTTCCCGGACGCCCCAGAGCGTCGCTATGCTCTCCCCGGACGCCCCAGAGCGTCGCTATGCTCTCCCCGGACGCCCAAGAGCATCGCGATGCTCTCCCCGGGACGCCCCAGAGCGACGCGATGCTCTCCCCGGACGCCCCCCAGAGCGTCGCGATGCTCTCCCCGGACGCCCCAGAGCGTCGCTATGTTCTCCCCGCACGCCCCAGAGCGTCGTGATGCTCTCCCCGAACGCCCTAGAGCGTCGCGATGCTCTCCCCGAACGCCCCAGAGCGTCGCGATGCTCTCCCCGGACGCCCCAGAGCGTCGCGATGCTCTCCCCGGACGCCCCAGAGCGTCGCGATGCTCTCCCCGGACGCCCCAGAGCGTCGCTATGCTCTTCCCGGACGCCCCAGAGCGTCGCGATGCTCTCCCCGGAAGCCCCAAAGCATCGCGATGCTCTCCCCCAGACGCCCTAGAGCGTCGCGATGCTCTCCCCGGACGCCCCCTGAGCGTCCGCGATGCTCTCACCGGACGCCCCAGAGCGTCGCGATGCTCTACCAGGACGCCCCAGAGCGTCGCGATGCTCTCCCAGCCGCCCCAGAGCATCGTGATGCTCTCCCCGGACGCCCCAGAGCGTCGCGATGCTCTCCCTGGACGCCCCAGAGCGTCGCGATGCTCTCCCCCGACGCCCAAGGAGCGTCGCGATGCTCTCCCCCGGACGCCCCAGAGCGTCGCGATGCTCTCCCCGGACGCCCCAGAGCGTCGCGATGCTCTCCCCGGACGCCCCAGAGCGTCGCGATGCTCTCCCCGGACGCCCCAGAGCATCGCGATGCTCTCCCCGGACGCCCCAGAGCATCGCGATGCTCTCCCCGGACGCCCCAGAGCATCGCAATGCTCTCCCCGGACGCCCCAGAGCGTCGCGATGCTCTCCCCGGACGCCCCAGAGCGTCGCCACGCTCTCCCCGGACGCCCAAGAGCGTCGCCATGCTCTCCCCGGACGCCCCAGAGCGTCGCGATGCTCTCCCCGGACGCCCCAGAGCGTCGCGATGCTCTCCCCAGACGCCCCAGAGCATCGCGATGCTCTCCCCGGACGCCCCAGAGCGTCGCGATGCTCTCCCCGGACGCCCCAGAGCGTCGCGATGCTCTCCCCGGACGCCCCAGAGCGTCGCGATGCTCTCCCCCGGACGCCCCAGAGCGTCGCGATGCTCTCCCCGGACGCCCCAGAGCGTCGCGATGCTCTCCCCGGACGCCCCAGAGCGTCGCGATGCTCTCCCCGGACGCCCCAGAGCGTCGCGATGCTCTCCCCGGACGCCCGAGAGCGTCGCGATGCTCTACCCGGACGCCCCCCAGAGCGTCGCGATGCTCTCCCCAGCCGCCCCCAGAGCGTCGTGATGCTCTCCCCGAACGCCCTAGAGCGTCGCGATGCTCTCCCCGAACGCCCCAGAGCGTCGCGATGCTCTCCCCGGACGCCCCAGAGCGTCGCGATGCTCTCCCCGGACGCCCCAGAGCGTCGCGATGCTCTCCCCGGACGCCCCATGAGCGTCGCGATGCTCCTCCCCGACGCCCCAGAGCGTCGCGATGCTCTCCCCGGACGCCCCAGGAGCGTCGCGATGCTCTCCCCGGACGCCCCCAGAGCGTTGCGATGCTCTCCCTGGACGCCCCAGAGCATCGCGATGCTCTCCCCGGACGCCCCAGAGCGTCGCTATGCTCTCCCCGGACGCCCCAGGAGCGTCGCTATGCTCTCCCCCGGACGCCCAAAGAGCGTCGCGATGCTCTCCCCGGACGCCCCAGAGCGCCGCGATGCTCTCCCCGGACGCCCCAGAGCATCGCGATGCTCTCCCCGGACGCCCCCAGAGCGTCGCTATGTTCTCCCCGCACGCCCCAGAGCGTCGTGATGCTCTCCCCGAACGCCCTAGAGCGTCGCGATGCCTCTCCCCGAACGCCCCAGAGCGTCGCGATGCTCTCCCCGGACGCCCCAGAGCGTCGCGATGCTCTCCCCGGACGCCCCCCAGAGCGTCGCGATGCTCTCACCGGACGCCCCAGAGCGTCGCTATGCTCTTCCCGGACGCCCCAGAGCGTCGCGATGCTCCTCCCGGAAGCCCCAAAGCATCGCGATGCTCTCCCCAGACGCCCTAGAGCGTCGCGATGCTCTCCCCGGACGCCCCTAGAGCGTCGCGATTGCTCTCACCGGACGCCCCCAGAGCGTCGCGATGCATCTACCAGGACGCCCCAGAGCGTCGCGATGCTTCTCCCCAAGCCGCCCCAGAGCATCGTGATGCTCTCCCCGGACGCCCCAGAGCGTCGCGATGCTCTCCCTGGACGCCCCAGAGGCGTCGCGATGCTCTCCCCCGACGCCCCAAGAGCGTCGCGATGCTCTCCCCGGACGCCCCAGAGCGTCGCGATGCTCTCCCCGGAACGCCCGAGAGCGTCGCGATGCTCTCCCACGGACGCCCCGGAGCGTCGCTATGCTCTCCCTGGACGCCCCAGAGCATCGCGATGCTCTCCCCGGACGCCCCAGAGCATCGCAATGCTCTCCCCGGACGCCCCCAGAGCGTCGCGATGCTCTCCCGGACGCCCCAGAGCGTCGCGATGCTCTCCCCCGGACGCCCCGAGAGCGTCGCGATGCTACTACCCGGACGCCCCAGAGCGTCGCGATGCTCTCCCCAGCCGCCCCAGAGCGTCGTGATGCTCTCCCCGGACGCCCTAGAGCGTCGCGATGCTCTCCCCGAACGCCCCAGAGCGTCGCGATGCTCTCCCCGGACGCCCCAGAGCGTCGCGATGCTCTCCCCGGACGCCCCAGAGCGTCGATATGCTCTCCCCGGACGCCCCAGAGCGTCGCGATGCTCTCCCCAGCCGCCCCAGAGCATCGTGATGCTCTCCCCGGACGCCCCAGAGCGTCGCGATGCTCTCCCCGGACGCCCCAGAGCGTCGCGATGCTCTCCCCCGACGCCCAAGAGCGTCGCGATGCTCTCCCCCGGACGCCCCAGAGCGTCGCGATGCTCTACCCGGACGCCCCAGAGCGTCGCGATGCTCTCCCCGGACGCCCCAGAGCGTCGCTATGCTCTCCCTGGACGCCCCCAGAGCATCGCGATGCTCTCCCCGGACGCCCCCAGAGTGTCGCGATGCTCTCCCTGGACGCCCCCAGAGTGTCGCGATGCTCTCCCCGGACGCCCCAGAGCGTCGCGATGCTCTCCCCGAAACGCCCCAGAGCGTCGCGATGCTCTCCCCGGACGCCCCAGAGCGTCGTGATGCTCTCCCCAGCCGCCCCAGAGCATCGTGATGCTCTCCCCGGACGCCCCAGAGCGTCGCGATGCTCTCCCCGGACGCCCCAGAGCGTCGCGATGCTCTCCCCGGACGCCCCAGAGTGTCGCGATGCTCTCCCCGGACGCCCCAGAGCGTCGCGATGCTCTCCCCGGACGCCCCAGAGCGTCGCTATGCTCTCCCTGGACGCCCCAGAGCATCGCGATGCTCTCCCCGGACGCCCCAGAGCATCGCAATGCTCTCCCCGGACGCCCCAGAGCGTCGCGATGCTCTCCCCGGACGCCCCAGAGCGTCGCGATGCTCTCCCCGGACGCCCGAGAGCGTCGCGATGCTCTACCCGGACGCCCCAGAGCGTCGCGATGCTCTCCCCAGCCGCCCCAGAGCGTCGTGATGCTCTCCCCGGACGCCCTAGAGCGTCGCGATGCTCTCCCCGAACGCCCCAGAGCGTCGCGATGCTCTCCCCGGACGCCCCAGAGCGTCGCGATGCTCTCCCCGGACGCCCCAGAGCATCGCTATGCTCTCCCCGGACGCCCCAGAGCGTCGCGATGCTCTCCCCGGACGCCCCAGAGCATCGCGATGCTCTCCCCAGCCGCCCCAGAGCGTCGTGATGCTCTCCCCAGCCGCCCCAGAGCGTCGTGACGCTCTCCCCAGCCGCCCCAGAGCGTCGCGATGCTCTCCCCGGACGCCCCAGAGCGTCGTGATGCTCTCCCTGGACGCCCCAGAGCGTTGCGATGCTCTCCCCGGACGCCCCAGAGCGTCGCGATGCTCTCCCAGGACGCCCCAGAGCATCGCGATGCTCTCCCCGGACGCCCCAGAGCGTCGCTATGCTCTTCCCGGACGCCCCAGACCGTCGCGATGCTCTCTCCGGAAGCCCCAAAGCATCGCGATGCTCTCCCCAGACGCCCTAGAGCGTCGCGATGCTCTCCCCGGACGCCCTTGAGCGTCGCGATGCTCTCCCCGGACGCCCCAGAGCGTCGCGATGCTCTACCAGGACGCCTCAAAGCGTCGCGATGCTCTCCCCAGCCGCCCCAGAGCATCGTGATGCTTTCCCCGGACGCCCCAGAGCGTTGCGATGCTCTCCCCGGACGCCCCAGAGCATCGTGATGCTCTCCCCAGCCGCCCCAGAGCATCGTGATGCTCTCCCCGAACGCCCCAGAGCGTCGCGATGCTCTCCCCGGACGCCCCAGAGCGTCGCGATGCTCTCCCCGGACGCCCCAGAGCGTCGCTATGCTCTCCCCGGACGCCCCAGAGCGTCGCGATGCTCTCCCCGGACGCCCCAGAGCGTCGCGATGCTCTCCCCGGACGCCCCAGAGCATCGCGATGCTCTCCCCAGCCGCCCCAGAGCGTCGTGATGCTCTCCCCAGCCGCCCCAGAGCGTCGTGAAGCTCTCCCCAGCCGCCCCAGAGCGTCGCGATGCTCTCCCCGGACGCCCCAGAGCGTTGCGATGCTCTCCCCGGACGCCCCAGAGCGTCGCGATGCTCTCCCAGGACGCCCCAGAGCGTCGCGATGCTCTCCCCGGACGCCCCAGAGCGTCGCTATGCTCTTCCCGGACGCCCCAGAGCGTCGCGATGCTCTCCCCGGAAGCCCCAAAGCATCGCGATGCTCTCCCCAGACGCCCTAGAGCATCGCGATGCTCTCCCCGGACGCCCCTGAGCGTCGTGATGCTCTCCCCGGACGCCCCAGAGCATCGTGATGCTCTACCACGACGCCCCAGAGTGTCGCGATGCTCTCCCCAGCCGCCCCAGAGCATCGTGATGCTCTCCCCAGACGCCCCAGAGCGTCGCGATGCTCTCCCCGGACGCCCCAGAGCGTCGCAATGCTCTCCCCCGACGCCCAAGAGCGTCGCGATGCTCTCCCCGAACGCCCCAGAGCGTCGCGATGCTCTCCCCGGACGCCCCAGAGCGTCGCGATGCTCTCCCCGGACGCCCCAGAGCGTCGCTATGCTCTCCCTGGACGCCCCAGAGCATCGCGATGCTCTCCCCGGACGCCCCAGAGCATCGCAATGCTCTCCCCGGACGCCCCAGAGCGTCGCGATGCTCTCCCCGGACGCCCCAGAGCGTCGCGATGCTCTCCCCGGACGCCCGAGAGCGTCGCGATGCTCTACCCGGACGCCCCAGAGCGTCGCGATGCTCTCCCCAGCCGCCCCAGAGCGTCGTGATGCTCTCCCCGGACGCCCTAGAGCGTCGCGATGCTCTCCCCGAACGCCCCAGAGCGTCGCGATGCTCTCCCCTGACGCCCCAGAGCGTCGCGATGCTCTCCCCGGACGACCCAGAGCGTCGCGATGCTCTCCCCGGACGCCCCAGAGCGTCGCGATGCTCTCCCCGGACGCCCCAGAGCGTCGCGATGCTCTCCCCGGAAGCCCCAGAGCGTTGCGATGCTCTCCCCGGACGCCCCAGAGCATCGCGATGCTCTCCCCGGACGCCCCAGAGCGTCGCTATGCTCTCCCCGGACGCCCCAGAGCGTCGCAATGCTCTCCCCGGACGCCCCAGAGCGTCGCGATGCTCTACCCGGACGCCCCAGAGCGTCGCGATGCTCTCCCCAGCCACCCCAGAGCATCGTGATGCTCTCCCCAGCCGCCCCAGAGCGTCGCGATGCTCTCCCCGGACGCCCCAGAGCGTCGCGATGCTCTCCCCGGACGCCCCAGAGCGTTGCGATGCTCTCCCCGGACGCCCCAGAGCGTCCTGATGCTCTCCCAGGATGCCCCAGAGCGTCGCGATGCTCTCCCCGGACGCCCCAGAGCGTCGCTATGCTCTTCCCGGACGCCCCAGAGCGTCGCGATGCTCTCCCCGGAAGCCCCAAAGCATCGCGATGCTCTCCCCGGACGCCCCTGAGCGTCGCGATGCTCTCCCCGGACGCCCCAGAGCGTCGCGATGCTCTACCAGGACGCCCAGAGCGTCGCGATGCTCTCCCCAGCCGCCCCAGAGCGTCGCGATGCTCTCCCCGGACGCCCCAGAGCGTCGCGATGCTCTCCCCGGACGCGCCAGAGCGTCGCGATGCTCTCCCCGGACGCCACAGAGCGTCCCCATGCTCTCCCCGGACGCCCCAGAGCGTCGCGATGCTCTCCCCGGACGCCCCAGAGCGTCGCGATGCTCTCCCCGGACGCCCCAGAGCGTCGCGATGCTCTCCCCGGACGCCCCAGAGCGTTGCGATGCTCTCCCCGGACGCCCCAGAGCATCGCGATGCTCTCCCCGGACGCCCCAGAGCGTCGCTATGCTCTCCCCGGACGCCCCAGAGCGTCGCGATGCTCTCCCCGGACGCCCCAGAGCGTCGCGATGCTCTACCCGGACGCCCCAGAGCGTCGCGATGCTCTCCCCAGCCACCCCAGAGCATCGTGATGCTCTCCCCAGCCGCCCCAGAGCGTCGCGATGCTCTCCCCGGACGCCCCAGAGCGTCGCGATGCTCTCCCCGGACGCCCCAGAGCGTTGCGATGCTCTCCCCGGACGCCCCAGAGCGTCCTGATGCTCTCCCAGGATGCCCCAGAGCGTCGCGATGCTCTCCCCGGACGCCCCAGAGCGTCGCTATGCTCTTCCCGGACGCCCCAGAGCGTCGCGATGCTCTCCCCGGAAGCCCCAAAGCATCGCGATGCTCTCCCCGGACGCCCCTGAGCGTCGCGATGCTCTCCCCGGACGCCCCAGAGCGTCGCGATGCTCTACCAGGACGCCCAGAGCGTCGCGATGCTCTCCCCAGCCTCCCCAGAGCGTCGCGATGCTCTCCCCGGACGCCCCAGAGCGTCGCGATGCTCTCCCCGGACGCGCCAGAGCGTCGCGATGCTCTCCCCGGACGCCACAGAGCGTCCCCATGCTCTCCCCCGGACGCCCCAGAGCGTCGCGATGCTCTCCCCGGACGCCCCAGAGCATCGCGATGCTCTCCCCAGACGCCCCAGAGCATCGCGATGCTCTCCCCGGACGCCCCAGAGCGTCGTGATGCTCTCCCCGGACGCCCCAGAGCGTCACGATGCTCTCCCCGGACGCCCCAGAGCGTCACGATGCTCTCCCCGGACGCCCCACAGCGTCGCGATGCTCTCCCTGGACGCCCCACAGCGTCGCAATGCTCTCCCCGGACGCCCCAGAGCGTTGCGATGCTCTCCCCGGACGCCCCAGAGCCTCGCGATGCTCTCCCCGGACGCCCCAGAGCGTCGCTATGCTCTCCCCGGACGCCCCAGAGCGTCGCGATGCTCTCCCCGGACGCCCCAGAGCATCGCGATGCTCTCCCCGGACGCCACAGAGCGTCGCGATGCTCTCCCCGGACGCCCCAGAGCGTCGCGATGCTCTCCCCGGACGCCCCAGAGCGTCGCGATGCTCTACCCGGACGCCCCAGAGCGTCGCGATGCTCTCCCCAGCCGCCCCAGAGCGTCGTGATGCTCTCCCCAGCCGCCCCAGAGCGTCGCGATGCTCTCCCCGGACGCCCCAGAGCGTCGCGATGCTCTCCCCGGACGCCCCAGAGCGTTGCGATGCTCTCCCCGGACGCCCCAGAGCGTCCCGATGCTCTCCCAGGATGCCCCAGAGCGTCGCGATGCTCTCCCCGGACGCCCCAGAGCGTCGCTATGCTCTTCCCGGACGCCCCAGAGCGTCGCGATGCTCTCCCCGGAAGCCCCAAAGCATCGCGATGCTCTCCCCGGACGCCCCTGAGCGTCGCGATGCTCTCCCCGGACGCCCCAGAGCGTCGCGATGCTCTACCAGGACGCCCAGAGCGTCGCGATGCTCTCCCCAGCCGCCCCAGAGCGTCGCGATGCTCTCCCCGGACGCCCCAGAGCGTCGCGATGCTCTCCCCGGACGCCCCAGAGCGTCGCGATGCTCTCCCCGGACGCCACAGAGCGTCCCCATGCTCTCCCCGGACGCCCCAGAGCGTCGCGATGCTCTCCCCGGACGCCCCAGAGCATCGCGATGCTCTCCCCAGACGCCCCAGAGCATCGCGATGCTCTCCCCGGACGCCCCAGAGCGTCGCGATGCTCTCCCCGGACGCCCCAGAGCGTCGCGATGCTCTCCCCGGACGCCCCAGAGCGTCGCGATGCTCTCCCCGGACGCCCCAGAGCGTCGCGATGCTCTCCCCGGACGTCCCACAGCGTCGCGATGCTCTCCGTGGACGCCCCACAGCGTCGCGATGCTCTCCCCGGACGCCCCAGAGCGTTGCAATGCTCTCCCCGGACGCCCCAGAGCATCGCGATGCTCTCCCCGGACGCCCCAGAGCGTCGCTATGCTCTCCCCGGACGCCCCAGAGCGTCGCGATGCTCTCCCCGGACGCCCCAGAGCATCGCGATGCTCTCCCCGGACGCCACAGAGCGTCGCGATGCTCTCCCCGGACGCCCCAGAGCGTCGCGATGCTCTCCCCGGACGCCCCAGAGCGTCGCGATGCTCTACCCGGACGCCCCAGAGCGTCGCGATGCTCTCCCTA